ACAATTTGATATTCTAAAAAGCTGAAAATATGTTTATAGAATAAAATTTATAAAACAAAACATTTCCGGAAAATTCTTTCAACATTAATAAATACAAAATGGGCGCAGTATTTCAGAACTATTTGGTTCATTTGTAAATTGTATAAGATTTGTTGAATGCAGTTACCGGACAATTACTACATATTTACACAGACTTTAAACATGTTTTTTTTAAACTTTGTGACGAAGTCACTAAATTTTATTTTTAATTCATCTTAAAAATGTATATTTCAATTAATTCCCGCCTGAGACCATGTAGAAGTTCCCCTATATTTCTGTTTCCCAGGAATTACCATTTTTCAACAATTGCGAGTACCCTCGTAGATTAAAATATTCTTATATTTATCGAAATCCGAATGGGAATTTTTAGAGTCGATTTCGTATGGATTATCCAGCTTTTATTTGTCAAGGACTATAAGGGCATTTTTTTATTTTTAAATTGTAAACAGTCGGCTGTAGTAGCGGTATCCCCACTTTGTCGTACTGGTCTTCCATCTTGCTTTACCGAAAAAGCATAAATTAAATCCCATCTGGGAATTATGCCCCTCCTCGCTTGCCAGCCGTCGTAAGCTCTCTCTCTTAATTGCCGACAGCCGAAAACTATTCACCCTTAGTTAGTGCCTAGTGCCGTGAGTACCGTGATTTAGATCATCGATTAACCCCGTTTATCTGCTAAGGTAGGAACCGTATATTATTATTTTTTTATATTGGCTTTTATATAATTAGTTGGGACACCCGTGTGACATATAAAGAATTTTTATTCACATCCAGGATATATTATTTCATCCCTCAGTGGGAAACCGTTTGCAATTTTTTATTTGAGGTTGGACCTAGACTAGAAAACGAGTACTCTCTTTGTCAGCGACTATATCCAATTTCTTTTAAAAACCGCCCAGTTAACATCGAAGTGAGAGATTCGACATGTTTTCGATTTTTTTATTATTTTATTTTATTTTTTTTTTCTTTTTCGGAGGTTCGATCCGTTTCCTGAGTTAGAGAGCTCTCTCTCCTGATGACGTTGTCTAATTTCCCAAAAAGACGTTTAAATTAATTTCAGCGTCTCACTTCGTGTAAAATTTCTTTTTTTTTAATTTTTTTTATTCAGCCGTATTTGAATCATTCCCCGTCCACAATTAGTTATTGAATGAAGCCAGACGACTTCTGTAAAATTAAATTCACACATACGCTCTCGATAGACTCTGGGCAAAATTGAAAAATATTATTTTCTACGACCGTCGTGGTCGCCGTTCAAAACACCGCGTAAATAAACCATATTTATCAGTAAGCGAGAATTTTCGTTTCCCATCGCTGGTTATTAAGATACAAGGGGGCTCTGACAATTTTGAGTTCATTTATTTGTTTGCATTTGATAACCGTCCTATTTAAATTGTTTCAAGTGTATTAATTTATTTTTATACATTTTCCGTATACTGGGCGTTTCACAATTCCCAGTCCGATTAGTCTCCTGTGCTAATAAACCATAAATATTTCTGTGTTTAAATAATTTTCAATTTTATTAATTTATTTAACAAATTTTCCGAATACGGGGATCCGTCAATATTTAAATAATTTTCAACTTTAATAATTTATTTTTATTTAATTTTCCGTATATAGGGATCCGTCAATATTTAAATACTTTTCAATTTTAATAATTTAATTTTAAAGAATAGATTTTTCGAATGCAGGGAGCCGTTCATATATAATTACCGTTGTATTTATTGTTTTTGTAAATATATATTTTAGTACCTATTCCTGCGTTTCTATTATTGCTGGTTCTTGACCGTTCTCTTTCAGGGTACCGTAGGGTACGAGGTGTAAAGGAGATAAGTGTTTTATTTTTATTTATTCTAGTATAGTGGCTACCTAGTAGTGACCGCCTGGAATTATTTTTACCTACACTGAGTTCACCTTGAGTACACTCTGGTGTAACACAGGGTCGCAGAGCAAACTGCGATACCTAAAATGGCGCCTGAGCAACCCCTATTCGGGAATTACATTCATAGCGCCACACGGACTCTCTGATTCACTGTAGGTGAACCATAAGCCTGTCACAAATGGCGCTCGAGCAGGAACCGTACTGCTGAAGGTTTTCCACACCCCCGGAATAAGGGTAGATTTTTTTCCCTCTCCTTTTTCTCCGAATTTATTTTCTGTTCATCTTCTTTTCTCCGAATTTTTTTTCTCCTGTGAGAAAACCGTTCTGTGCCCCGCCATGACACCCCCACTACCCACCGTTAGGCTCGTACCTATCCAAACGCACGAGTGGAACCTCTCGTTTGGAAACCGTAATGATCCAGTTGCGTTTTTGGAACGCCTTGATGAAATTTGCCCCCCACCCTCCAAACCACAGGATAATGAATCTTGGAGATCTGGGAGAAACCGCCTCCCTCCCTCCAACGCACAGGATGAGAGATCCAGGTTGAAAGTTGTGACCAATACCAGCCGTCCGACCAGTATAGTAACTCCAAAGACACAATCGGTTCTGAAGGGCCGTACGTCGAGTTGTTCAACAGCTGTGCTGGACCGGATTGAAACCTTGTCTCCTGAACTTTTCTATAAATTTTCAATTTTAAGGTTAGTAGAGGATTATTTTCGTTGTTCCAATAGGTAGAGACCCCACATAATCTTTTTAGTTTTCTTATGATAATGGAATTGTTTACCAAAGATATATTTTTAATTAGGTACTTAAGGGATAGCAATTCTCTTCTAAATCTAAGGGGGAGTTCGCCAGTCTCAATCAATAAAGCTATAATTGGGGTAGATTTTATACCCCCTGTGATTATGCGAAGGCTTTGGTTCTGAAGTTCATCCAACTTTTTTTGTATATCCTGGGAACACGGTATTATAATTTGACATCAATATTCAAAGTGGGACAAAATGATTGATTTATGTAAAATTCGTCACATCCCCACCAAGTCCCACAAAGGGCACGCATGACATTGAGGTTACGATTGAATGCTTATCCTTAGCTATTTAATTTTATTCTTCCATTGAATGATTTGAGATTTACAGTAAATATTAGATAAAGTAAATTTAGTTACCCCTTTAGTGAATAATGCTGCCGAAGTTTTACGCAATGAAAGATTAAGATTATGTTTTTCCAACTAGGATTCTAAAAAAAAAAGAACTGGATACGTGGATTCATATTGTAAACATTTGATCCATTAACCAGTATTATCAGATCATCATCTTAATAAATTAATTTAAAATTATTAGGCAGAATATCAAATAGAGAAAGGTATAAAGGTAAAACAAAATGGGACTAAGCGGAGAACCTTGAGGAAGGCCTCGATTAGTAGTTTGAGGACCATGGATATGACCCAAATTGTCTTGAGTAAATAGTTCTCTTTGGACTAAAAAAGAATGTATTAAATTGGCCAAATCTACTGGTACATCCGCATCTAGTAAAATGGAATATAACCGAGGAATGTTAACTGAATCATATGCAGCAGAAATATCGATGAAGAGACCAATAGTAAATTTATTAAGGGAGAAGCATATTTGCACTTATGAGGTAAAATAAACAAGACACTCCGTACAACCCCTGCCTCTTCTGAAGCTCAATTGTAAGGGATTAGGAATTTGGTTATTTTCCAAATGCCATTAAAGTCGGTTTTTGACTAAGGATTTAAATGCTTTGCCTACGCAGGAGGAAAGGGAAATTGGCCTATAATTTGGTGCTACCATTTTATCCTTATTTGGCTTAATTATAGTGTTAGAGTCAGCGAATTTGGATATCGCCGCCACTGGGGTCGACACTAGCACGTCTACCCGTTTTAGTGTTCAGGACCAGGAGAGAGCGCCAAGAGCGGGCTCTTGACGTTCGACCAGCCGAATGCTATGAAGTGATAGGCAATATGCCGTTAAAGACATTCTTTATTTTGTTCCTTAATTAATTACATTTGAAACATTGTTTACGAGATATTTAATACAACTTTATTAAACCATGTTAACACGTGTTTTATGAAGTGGCTATACAGGGTGTTATAGTAAACAGGGTGCTAAATCATTTAAGAACAATAATTTTAAAGTTAATTCTTTTAGCTTATTATTAACAAATATTTAACGTAGAACGTATATATTATTAAGAGAAACAAAAAGTTATTTTAGCCTAAATTCTGAATTAAATGATTTCATAAGCTTCCTAGACTCTAATCGAGATTTTATGAAACATCTCGTTTTTCATCTCCACAAACTTTAGATGATGCCTCTGTAACTAAATGTACACATCTTTCAGTGGCGTGAGTATGCCAGGGGAACTTGGGCAAATCTAGAAAGTGTGGGTCGGTTTCTTGACCAGATACAAAACCTTCCAGGTCCTCTTATGAGACATGCTTTAATATTGGTGGTTCTGACCTATCTGTTTTATACCAATAAATGATTTTACTATAATCCTCTGACTACATGTTTAAAGAAGGTACGTGAAACTGTCTGATAGATGTTGAATTTTTGTTTTCTATTCTGCGGCATGCTAACTTGCGGATGTGCTCTCTGTTATCTGCCAGCATCGCTAGAAAAAGGTTCTTTGAATGGCCAAAGAAGCCATTCCTCTGTATTACGACATCTACTATCTCCCTTAAATCAGTCAGCATATATCTTAAATATTTAATCAATCTCCACAAATGTCCTGGACCGTCAATACACAATGGCTTACATTTGATATTGAATCATAATAAACTATATACTTTTATAATAAAAGTAGCTAAATGTACCAGATTTTCCGTGGGATGCTCCGATGCGACATATAACCGAAGGATTCTACTTGCCATTGTCACCTATATTGAATGTACGACTGGTCCTGCTTTAATCCTCGCAAGGTTTTTACTGCATTCTATAGATGATACTGCATTTAACATATCATACAAATATTGCTGTTCAGTATTTAAAATATTTCTATCTAAATCAGGAATGGTGCTACTCTCATTTTTTGAGAATCTAACTAGAGGGAGGGTTTCACAAGCTTATATTGATTTTTCAATGGCACCAGAGAAAGCTTTTGGACCTTGAATAACACCATTAAGTTGGATTAAAAGGTGACGTAAGGGAATGAACCATTGAAGAGGGCGATTTATGGCAATTTCTAGGAGTCTTATTATTCCTGCATTTGTTTCTGTGTTGTCGTTAGTGCCATCACATCCAACTGCTATTAACGATTCAATCAATATTTCTTTTCTATTATAGAAATCCAATATGACATCTTTGATGAGGATAGCTGCCCCAAACAATAAAGCTAAATGGCCGAGGTAAATGGAACCTGGCTCTTTTACCAAGGATATATGCTCCTTCTCTGAAATGGTATTATAGTAATACTTATCGCCCTTCTTATTGTGTGTCAGTGATTTATCCTTCTGTCCATCAAAATATAACGCTTTTACTATCTCCATGTTCTTATTTTGCAATTATGTTCTGTAATTTTCCCTTTTCCGACGAACTTTATTTCGATCTGTTACTTAAGAAGTGTCCTGTTTATTACTGATGCCCAAATCTTGTAACAGAGCGGAAGAATGTGATGCATCGCTTCTGTCTGAAATACAGTAAAGATCGCACTTCCTAGCAAAAGCTGTAAGATTTACCCTTATTTCCAGGATCATTTCTAGTCTCATTTTTAGAGTATCTTGGCCCAGATGCAGTATCTTTAGACTTTAGTTTTGGGCGTTTTTCAAAAATCAGGTTCTTGGGATCGTTTCATCTTTCTTTGGTCTCTTTTTGCTATTTTCCTGGAGGATGCTACATCAATTGATCCTATGACTAGGTTTCTGGTAGTTCGCTGATCTATTACAAATTCTCTTTCTTGTGCTGGGATTTTCTTCTCTTTGGAACAATGGCAATCGTTGAGGTCTTTACATTTACAACTAGCAATATCAAAGAGAGTTTCCTCTAAGCTGAGTTTTAAATCTTTAAGCTTCTTTTTGTAGATTTCAGATTGCTGTCTTTATTTATTTATTAATTAATACATTTAACAGGATTTATCAACCCAATTGCAGGAGTATATGATATATTTGAAAATACAAAATTTGAGAATACCTAACTAAATTACATTCTAATTACCTAATTTGATACCAATCTGTAACATTGCTCTCTAAATTGGTAAAATTTTAGAAAAAATATATCAACAGAATACTGATTGACACTTCTATACATTGCAGTTAAAGGACTGTGAAAGTGTTGTTGTGAATTTGGCACTTGAATATGAAATGTTATTTTTAACCTTGACGTAATACGTGGGATATGAAAATTAAAATAAGACAGCCGAGAAGATGAATCTATAGAATTAATTATTAATTTATAGATGAATATCAAATCTGCTATTTCTCTTCTTTTTCTTAGACTTACAAAACTAAATTCTTCTAACAATAAATTAAAGTCAGTGACGAATAGGATAACGGTAATGTTTTTTAAAGTAAGTAAATTTTAAAAATTTTCTTTGAACAGATTCTAATGCACTTATGTACTTTAAATAATAAGTATTCCAAACACAACTGCAATACTTTAGTTTGCTACGAACTAGTAACAAATACACAGAGAAGATGCTTTCTAAATTTTTAAACTTTTTACAGATTCTAATAACAAAACCCAAGATTTTTTACTTTGTACATTGTTTTCAATGTGTTCCGAAAAAGTCAGTTTGCTCTCAAATAAGATACCTAAATCTCTGTAATTATATATCCGGGGAAAAACAAGATTATGTAATTGTCATACAAGATAGTGTTTACTTTCCTAAAAAAGGACAGGACTTTGCATTTGTTAGTATTCAAACATAGTTTATTTACGATACTCCAGTTATGTAAGTTGACAAGGTCGTTTTGAAGAGCAATGCAATCTAAGGTATCCTCTATTTCCCTATAAATTTTTATATCGTCTGCAAACAAAAGTTTCTTAGAGTTGATAAAATGGCAGATGGCATTAATAAAAATAACAAATAATAATGGGCCCAAATTCGAGTCCTGAGGAACCCCTGACGTTGACACGAAATTAAAAGATTTGGAACTCTCGTATGCAACATATAACTGTCGATCAGTTAAAAAAGACTTTAACAGTGACCGAATACTCTTTGAAACACCAAATTGTCTCAGTTTCAGAAGTAATTTTTTGTGAGACACCTTATCAAACGCTTTACTAAAATCTGTGTATGCGACGTTAACTTGATTTCTACAGTCTAAAGAACTAGATATTGCGTAAATGTACACAGATTTGACGCGGTACTTCACAAAACCAGGTTGGTATTCCGTGATTGAATTTTTTACGTGATAATATAATATATATCAAAAATTTTGGAAAAAACAGATTAATGCGATTGGTCTGTAATTTGATATATCAGAAACTTTACCAGCTTTGAAAACGGGACAGATTCTAGATATTTTCCAAATATTTGGATAGGCCTCTTCTTCTAGAACTGTGGTTTGAGTAGAGTCCTATAGTCAGTATTCAATTTTATTTTCTCACTAACTTTTTTTAAATGTAATTGTTGGAACTGATGACTTCTTCCAGATGTACACTATGGTGTTTGCAATTTTTGTTGGTATTATTGAAGCTGGTAAATCTTTGCCTGTCATGATGCCTTTTTTCTCATTCCTGACGAACAAGTAGTGTCGAATTACATATGCAAAGGTAGGACAAAGGGTGGTTTTCCAGGTATGAGTTTGTAACGAACTCAATTTTTCTTCAAACGGTTTATATTAATTTATCATTTTTAATACAAATAAGCGCGCTCGAGCTGCTTGTCTTAGGCGTCGAGACGGGTGCGCACTGCCGATCGATATATCGAAGCGCGGTGGTACTGCCGTTGGTGGGGTCTTTGCTATGGAAAAGGAATCGACGGTTGAACCAGATCCGAGATTAAATTAAAAATTTCAGTTGCTAATAGACTTTACACCGTTTTATTGAATGAACGAATATTTAAAATTACTCCGACACGATTCCGATATTGCTCGCGAGAGATAATTAAAACCGAAATATATTTCTAGCCGCGATCTTGACCGTAGGTAAATTGTTGTCATTGTTTTGATAAATTGAAATTTTTTTCGCTCGATTCTTTAAGCCGTGCTATTGGAAACCGATTTATTTTGATTTATTTTTAATTATTAATATTCCGTGTTGAGTTAAGAATTGAAATTTGTTTAAGAAATACTTTAATTTATTATTGTTAGAAAACACCGTTCTTATGGAATTTCATTTTAGTTTATTTAAGGTTTTCACTGTTAAATAATTTATTTTTCATTCGATCGTAAATATAGTCGTATAGTTAATTTTTCCTACTATTCTTGTTAGAAAACACCGTTCTTTTGGAATTTAATTTTAGTTTGTTTAAGGTTTTATCTGTTAAATAATTTATTTTTCACTCGATCGTAAATATATATTATATAGTTAATTTTTCCTAGTACTGTAAATTTCAGTGGACAAATCGTAAATTTCATTCTAGTTTATTTAAAACTTTAACCAATAAATAATTGGTTGGAACTGTTTGGGAATGGTCTAATATTTTGATTGGTTATTTTAACAGAATTGCGACGAACCGCAAATTTTAAGCAGCTCGTGATTACGATCACTTCATTCAGAGATAATGTGCTATTCCGGTTATTAGTTTATTTTACATCTGAAACATTCATTTGCGTAAGTTTCCGTTATTTTAAGAGAACTGAAATGGAATCATTCCCCTGTCTGAAGCGGCTCGTGATTACGATCACTTTATTCAGAGGTAATGTGCTATCCGGGTTATTAGTTTATTGTACGTAGGACTTCGTTATTTTATGTGAACTTAAATAGTATCATTCCCCTGTCTGAAGCGGCTCGTGATTACGATCACTTCATTCAGAGATAATGTACTATCCCGGTTATTAGTTAGTTTTACTTTTCAACCACTAGTCTGAGTAAACTTCTTAGAGTCCCGGTTTCAGCCCTGAAATTAGTCCCGCATTCTCTGCAACCGCATATAAAATTTTGCTATGCCGTTATTGTTAATACCAATTAGACAATTCAACAGTTAATTTTTCCTACGACCGTAAATATTATTTTCTGTAGAAAAATAATAAATTGCATTTTTAGTTTGTTTAACGATTAAACTGTTAAATATTTCCTGCGTCCGTAAAAAAATTGTCTGATGGTAAATTTTTGTTACTACCGAATTAATACTTCCGAACGAAATAGCAAGTTATATTTTTAGCTCAACAACCAAATAGATAGTTCAATAATAAATTTTTGCTGTGACCGTGATTACTAAAATTATTGATTTAATTTTTTTTACGTCTGATTGAGGCTATTCGGAAGTCATTTCCGGCCGTCTTGTTTGTTTAGGGTTTGTACATATTACCGTGAGGGTATGCGTTGAAATATATTAATTTATTTTTTTTGTTGTAAATTGTTTAAAATAATATATGTATCAATGTTAGCTTGCCGCATTACTGGTTATTATTTCCTAACTTTATTTCCCCCTTGTATTTCAGCTAGTGATAAATTCTGTACCAGCCCAAGCAACGATTAAAGCCCGTTACTTGTGGCCTACTATTACCTGCCTCTAAGTGACCTTTGATCCCTGGAATTTTTCATCTCCATCTGTAGCTACCCCAGTACTTTCGACGCCGTTGCGAGAGTTTGTGGAGTAAACCATAACCAAAAATCTGGCGCTTGAGAACCGCCCGTAACCAGCGCTATTCGTAAGGAACCGTTTTCGCTGTGGCGAGAAACCCCCTTACAAGTTTTTGCGCTCATTTTACTTTGTTTGATATCTAAAACAAAAGAAACAATAGTTATTATAACATGTTTAGCTATAGAAATTTAATTGACTTGAATAAAGCGAGAAAAGTAACCAAAATATATTTGAAAGTCAGAATAAATGAAAACACATTTTTTTTTACTTAACTGGGGCACCTCCAAAAATGTTCCAAGAGCCTCCAATTTTGGAACACACACTTTTTAAACATTCAAGAAAAGTTTACACAAAGGGGCGTATCGGATATTTATATATAAAAAAATTGAGGGGGTCGGGGCACCTGCACGGGTTGACTAAAAAAAATTTTTTTGGCAAAAAAAACTTACTTTTATGAATGGCAACTTTGCCACCCGGGCCATTATCAAATTTAAAAAAAAGTTTTTTTCGATCCTACCTACTGTTTTGCTAATCCTGCTTTTTCTTGACTTCTCCTCAATTAATTCAGGTAGTGTTAATAGTTAAACGTTTACATATTTATTTTTATATGTATTTATTAATATATACTTATTTGCATTTTAAAGATTATTAATGATTTTCTGTTAGACAAAAATATTTTTATTCTAGGGTTTATTTAATGAATTTTAATATTTTACCGGAGTGACAGTATTTCACTATTATTAAATTTTTGACTCGTTCTAACCAGCATATTTGAGAATTATGATGTGCAAACAATAGAGA